ATATATATATATATATATATATATATATATATATATATATATATATATATATATATATATATATATATATATATATATATATATATATATATATATATATATATATATATATATATATATATATATATATATATATATATATATATATATATATATATATATATATATATATATATATATATATATATATATGTGTGTGTATGTATATATATATTTATATATATATATATATATATGTGTGTGTGTGTGCTTCTGTGTGTTTCTGTATTTGTCTATATGCATATATTTGCCTACCGTTATTCCTACATACACCCTGGCAGCAGTAGGCCTCCATGTTCTATTTTCAAACACTCGCTGGTGTTTATATGGCATGTATAAGCCGTAAACCTGTTTCTCATGTCTGTGTACTATGTCACCTGTAGGTTGGAGCAGCAGAAAAACCATTTGATCTCTATGCTAGACTTACAGTCCTCTGCCGGAGATCTTGACATAGGCGTAAGTGAAGGCGCATGGCCACACACTCGTTCATACGGTTACCTTGCGTCTTACGTACGCAAGTGCGATTGTTTCTGTGTATCAGTAGACTAGTCATGATATCTTCCAGTGTCACCTTAGAGGCGTACGCCACAAGAGTGTAGTGTAGGCAAAATCTTGAAGCACGCAGTGGCCGCATATGTATATTCTGGTATTTATCGTTCTGTATCTGTTACATCCATAAACCCTATTAAAAGGCCTCTGTATCAAATGTTGGGTCTCAGGGGCTGTGTTTGTGCCGTTGACGCTCTCAATTTTATTGGTATATGGCCACTCCGGGTCGTTAGTGCCGTAGAAATCGCTCTCCCGTCCTTTTGTTGTTGAATTGAATATGCCAATTTCTCTTATACCTATAGGTGCGGACAAGCGATACGTGCAAGCACATGCAGATAAATTTGAATGTTTATATGATCGTACATAAAAAGTATTTATATGCGTGTGTGTTGGTATTTATACATATACAATATTAGTTAGAGTGAGTGCGATGCGTTGCATCTATCAGCACACTTACTGAGTGTCAATATATGTCAAAATACGATTATTTACCCATAATATATCGGTGTAGGTAAATGACCTGGAGGAGGACGTGGTAAAGGTTGAGGAGATCAAAGTAGAGGACACGGTGGCCGCGAACGAGATCGCCGACAAATTGCAGGGTATGCACAGCCGGAGTTTTTGACAATTTTGGGAGGAGATTGGTGGCCCTATTGGTTAGTATTGAAAGTCATTGTTACAGATTTTGTAGTGAGAAGTTAGAAGGGGTACAGACTTGGAGTGGTGATTGGTGACTCTAAATTGTTTTGCGGTATCAAATGACGGCTGCAGACAGTCAAGGTGGACGTGTAAGGACGTCACCTGGGACGCATCACAGTGTTCAAACATATGAAAATCAACATGCTAGCTATGATACATACAATGGGGTTGGATAGTTGATCTGGTAATAGAATGATTCGCAGTCAAACCAAGGAGTGTACGATGGTTTTGTTCTGCTATTTTCACATCTCCTAATAGTCATCTGACATGTTTGCACATCCACCGCTTGTACGCATTTTCACACATGCACGGCAAAAGTGTGTATGTACGAATATCCACACATACACTCTATATCCGTGTATGTACATATGCTCATATCTATCCATGCATGTTCAGAAGCGCAAAATGCATGTACAAGAAACCACTCGCCCTAGGGGTGTATCTTGTTGATTTGTAGCCTACTGTTACAGTGCATTTAGTTCAATTTCCATGAGCTCCATGTGGCATGAGGATAATCATCAAAGCATTTGATGGTAGCCTACTGTTACAGGGGATTTAGTTCAATGTCCATGAGCTTTATGAGGCATGAGGATGATCATGAAAAGCATTTGATGGTAGCCTACAGTTACAGTGGAATTAGTTCAATGTCCATGAGCTCCATGCGGCATGAGGATAATCATGCAAATCATTTTATGGTAGCCTACTGTTACAGCATACAGACCTCCAGTCTGTGTGCATACCACCTGCATGCGGCTGCCCAAGATATATATGTGTACATACACATCACTCTACCACCACTCATGAAAGTATACATGTATCTTCAACACATCTCACTAAGTGTTTTGGGTGGGTTGACCATACCTACCGGAGTTGTGCAACACATATCGACGGAAGTCTGAAACTTACGATTGTGCTAGAAATAGGCTGAGGTATCACTGGAGAAGCACTTGCCCACACCAGTCATCTCATACTTCTCCAAGGCAGTGTTTGGATGTTACAGGACTTGTGGGCGCTTAGTATAAGCTTTATGGTAGACTGGCTCTTTACAATACCAAGATACGAATATCACTAGTACAATGATACATGGAATATGCTGTCTCAACAGTATCAAGATACTAGTACCATAGTACGCCGTGTGTAAGCTATCTCGACACCATCAGGATACGACTACCGTGATGCACGTCTTTTCTGCGATTGTTGTAGGTGCCAGTAATACTAATACTATATTCCACGTCTCATCTGCAATTGCTGTAGGTCTTACCGCACGTGAGCGGCTGCGATTGAAGAGATTGGCCAAAGGGAAGCGCAGCGCCGCGCTCAAGGTCAAGTCCTCCAAGTCCAAAACAGGTGCGCTACGCTCACATATTCTAGTTACTATAGCTTTCCAAGCTGCGCTCGGGATGGGGTGTCCATACATGCTTGCCTCTGTACACACATGCCCACACTTCCACACATCAGTGACAGTGACAGTGTTTGGTTTTAAATTAATATATGTATATGAATATATATATATATATATATATATGTGTGTGTGTATGTATATGTCTTTGATCACGTGCGATCGTCTGCCCTGTTTTATTTTGTACGTTGGTAGTACCTGTGTACACTGGCACTGCCGTGTACCATGGACCTCTGCCTGCCCTCAGAAGCAATTTTGGTTGCAGGCGCTCAGGTATCGGCTGTTCTGTGCATATATACAGCCAAAGGGCCAGGGTCTACACATACCGCCATCTGGCTAGTATCTACTGCATGCACATGACATACTGCCAGCTGGATAGTATCTACTAGCTCCTATCTCCGATTCCGATGGGTACCATTTTACAACACACTTGCTGCATGGCCTTATCATTTTGGCCCATTTAGATTCAATCCCCAGGACCTCCACACCCCGCGTTCAGCTAGCCTTGTGTACACTTATATCTGTCATTGTCCCTCCCGCTCGTACCACAACGTTGACATCATATACGCAGTCTTTGATTCGCGCGTTCAGTACTGTAGTTTGCTAGTCGAAGCTTTAGCATTTTAGGATTGCGAGGGGTTGGGTTCATATTGACTTACTCCCACAACGTTCTGCGGTATTTGGTCATCTGTGCCCATCATCAGATGCAAACGCCGCAGTGGGAGCCTCAACGGGAGGGAATGTCGGCACAGGTATGTGAGCGCTAGTCGCATTATTCTCGCACGAAGTTTCGATTTCCAGAATTTCGACAGACATGTTTAGGGTTAACGATTGTAGGGTTTGCTTACGGGATTGGTCAGTGTGGACGACACACATGTTTGCTTGTCTATTTATTGTGCACAGGATTCATACAGTCCCGTTTTATTTATACAGCTTGCTTGTGGGAATAGCAAGTGTGGAAGACACACATAGTCTTTTTTGTCTTCCTTACTAGTCGGCAGTTTCTACGGACTTGCTAGTATAGTTCGCTTGTAGGTTTGTTACCTTTGTTTGTTCCAATACGCTCATGTTCTTTTTGTCTCCTTTCCTTGACTAACGAGTGCCTGCATCGTGGCTTTTCCTCCCAATTGTGCAGATCTTATCGAGGCTGCGGAACCCGTGGTGGAAGTGGTGTGTTTTGTTTGAAGTGTATCTATGTCCACGTATAAGAGATTATAAGCTTTATACAGAAACAATTACATATGCATGTATATATTATACAAATCATAACACGCACCTCTCTATATCCTGTGTCGTGATGCAAGTGACTTCGTAACTGCATTTCCATTTGTTGAGTGTCGCTGTGTTTCATTACGAGAGGTCATATCTGTGCTATTTATGGCCAGTTTGTATTGGTGAGTGGTGTTGGTCGTCTTTAACATAGTCAGCGAGTGTGTTTTTTTGGCCACTATCTGTATTGATTAGACATGAGAATGTGGCTGAAGGTTATTTTGGGACTCTGGACGCATATCTTCACGCACCTACGCCTGCACGTATTTTAACGCATACATGTACACGCAATGAACCATACGCAATACGAACGCGTTACGATACTTCGTATGCACAAACATAGACATGTACACCTAGAGACGCACCTCTAAATGCACTTTACAGCTGCTCACACGCTCGCACTCGTATGTACACGTATGTATACTAGTTTGCACACGGTTTTACTATAACTACTACTTCGAAACTATGCGATCAGAATCCGAACGAATGGCCGTTTGAAAATCTCTGCGATGAGTTGCGACACGATCTGTTCGACGCAGAATGGGAGGTCCGACACGGCGCAGGCTCAGCACTCAGAGACGTCATCAAGACCCACGGGTCGGGGGGAGGCAAAGGTACGTTTACATATACCAGCAGATATATATATATGTCTATATGTCTATATGTCTATATATATATATATATGTATGTATGTATATATGTTTGTATGTATGTAAGTATGTATGTGTATATGTATATGTATATATATATATGTGTGTGTGTATATATACGTGTGTATATATATACATTATATTAATATATTAATATATTGTTATGCACATATATTATTATTATTATTAACGTCATTATATTACTATTACTATTAATTTTTGTACTATTCTTGTTCTTATTAATAATAATAATATTATTTTCTTATTATTATTATTTATAGTTATACTATATATATATATACATACATATATATATGTGTATATATAAATATATATATATATATATATGAATATATATATATATAATGTATGTATGTATGTAAGTATATGTAGTACCATTCTGAGT